GCAGCAAACTGCAGCAAGGACGTGGCAATAAGAACTCAAGGAGGTGAGCTGACTGTGCTGCCAACATCAGAATATTGTCCAACTATGGTTTCACACTTCATCTGCATTGAAAACTCCAGGTCTTTAATAGAAAACAAACCAATGAAACCAAAACCCACACAGCATGAATGGAGAGTATTTGAAAGAAGTTCTGCAAACAAAGCAGCTAGTGAAATAAACCCATTTTAGTGATTTCTATGCAAGACATTTAGGTAGAACCAAACTTTGGTCCAAAGCTACAGCCACCTCCTGTAGAAGCTTTATGATCTCTCACAATATGCTACCATTGTGCCCTCTCAGAAAAACAAGCAAGCCATGTACAGTAAGAAGGGTTGATGCTTCAGGGCAGGCACGTTTTCCATTGATCAATGACTTTATGGCCCCATGACTGCAAGTAACCTCTTTAAGAAGCCCTCCTTGCTTTGGGTCACTCAGGACTAAACAGCACTAAGGGAAGACAGAACAGTATCGTACTCTCTGCTGAGACCATATTTAGGGTAACACAATTCTGTCCACTTAACCTTGAAATATTAGTTGGGTTTATTGTTTTTTTTTTTTTCCCATTTGCTGATTATCCCGTAATTGCAATGCTAAGAACCCACTCTAAACCTCTTGCATTGTAGTGCAAGATCAGCAAGAGGAACAGAACCAACCAGCTGCTCCGGGCTGCTTCCAGGGATCAGAAATTTCCCAGAGAGGATGCAGCGATTTCTGTGCATTTTACACAGTACACAATGTGGCTGGACTATTACAGTGCTCTATACTGATCCCTAACCCTCTCCGTATATATTCTAAAGCCCTGAAAGAAAGTTTTGATTTCTACATACTTCAAAAAATAACAAACAGATTATGTTAATTTTATTTACTAATACACCACAAAACACAAGGTATAGTTATCTACATTGTGTGTTAGGTGCTTTTGAGACATCTATGAGGGTTTAGATATAAAAGCCATAAATCAAGACATTATCCACCAAGTTTTCCAATGGGAAGGATGATTCAGCTGCCAGGATCTGGGAACATGAGGCTATACTGATAAAGACAATTTTGAAATATTCAAGGCCAAGGAAGATAAATAGCCAGAGAGGATTGCTGTAGCATTTGGTAGGAAAAAACATCTGCAGATGATGTTCCACAGAAGATAGCACTCCCTTTCACCATCATCCATCAAGCTCAAAGAGGAGACATTCCTCCTCAGATGGGAGTGCCTTTTTTCATGTCAATGAGGTTATAGCTCATATATAGGTATGGACAACACCCTAAGAAAGGGACAGACCTTTTTGAGGGAACGGGTGATTACAGATTTACAGATTATAGCAATTATAAAAGGATAAATGCAAGATTAAAGGAACCGGACTGCATGTTCTAGAAAGGAAAAGATAGGACCAGGAAGAATGTAAAAGACATCAAAGAGCAGAGCCATCAATTTTTAACTTGCAAAGAAGTAATCATTGATTTTCAGCAAAGATTTGGATGGTACATGAGACAACCTATCTAGATGGATAGTTAAAGCATAGGAAGAGAGATCTGAGGAATCTGTTTTAACCTGAGCCTATAAAGGATGCAATAGATCTTGTTTGTAAGGATGAAGAGGGCTGACTACAGGAGCAGCAAGGAGAAACTAAAAGTGGGTTTAAACTAGTATAATCAGAAATGTAATGAAACATCTCAAGTAGAGCACATTCTCTCTTGCCATTTATTTTTTTGCCTGCAGGGAGGCAGCAGCAGGAGGTGGCTGAGCCTGGTCTTTCTGTCCTTTTGGCATGTTGCTCAGAGGGCGAGCAGCAGTGTCCCTCATCTCTAGTACAGCATCAGAAGCTACTGCCACTTCATGGGATCACCAAACAGACCAAGAGCTGTTCTTGCACCTTCTGCTTTGGCCTCAAAGTTGCCATCCAGCCTTCCAGGTTTCTTTTTTAAATTTTCTTTGCCAGGCCCCTTGTATTAAGGCTAGCATGGGGCCTCAGCCTGGCTTTACAGACATAAAACTGAAGAGGATTTCATCAATAAAAAGCCCCTCGCCTGGTATCCGTGACCCAAGTCAGTTTAGGGAGGAACTATGGCCCTTCGCATCCTTACACAGGAAAGTCAGCCAACGCTTGGGCTGGCAGTATTATTACTTTATTTCCTCCCTGAATTTATCCACTATTTTATTAATACACTCATTCTTGAAAAACACTCACATTGCAGAAAATCCAATTTAGGAAGCATTACATACACATCAAACATTTAGTAATTATGTCAATGTCTGAGGAAACCAAGTGCCACGGTAAGGCATCTGGAAAGCAAAACTTGCTGAGCAAAGGGAAGCTTTTTCCAAACTACGACTTGTGAAACTAAAGCTGTAAAAGGCTCTGCTGTTTCTGGAGAAAAAGAAAAAAAAAAAGTTTCATCATGTAAGGTAGTAGGAAAGGTGCAGAGGGCATATCAAGGCAGAGACCCCCTTCAGCTTCTTTCTTAAGACTCCCGCTATCCACATAAAACAACACTAGCAGAGCAATTGAGAGCCATGGCTTACCAATGAAGGAGTCTTCAGGTGTTTTGGGTCCAAGCTGGGTGTTCCTTGGGGAAAATTAAGTTACAACTTTCTTGTGTCCTCCCCCTCCCTTCTCACAGCTGTACTTTTTGAGGTAGACATCCCCCCCAATCGCTCTCTTTCCTTCCCTCACTGCTCTGTTCTCAGCAAGCCCACAAGATGCTGCAAATGTTCCCATCATCTTGTGTAGGAAAATACGCATCCTGGAGCTTTGTCACACACGGGTACTTTCGTGTGAAGCTACCTGTACAAAATGCCTTCATCTTTGTAACTGACTACTTCCTACCGCCAGCTGCGGGAGAGACCAGGGAGACCACAGAAGTGAGCTTTGTGCACGGTAACTCAAAGGAAACGCACACAGAATATCAGAAAGTCTTGCTTCTTAGGACTAAGCGTCCGACAGTTTACCTCAACAGGGGGATACTGTAACTAGCCCACTCAAGACAGAAGAGATGGCATGACTAGATCTTGTGTCAAGTCAATAGACCGGGATGATGCACAAGATCAAGCCATTTGCATGGCCACTCCAGTACAAGTTCTATATACTTGAAGAGAGTATTATTAAATGTGATATGATACACCTGTGAGGACACAGGTTAGAGAATAAGAGGAAGATTTCCATCAAAGTCACAAGAATCAAATTATTTAAGAAGTTACAAAAATAATCCTACCATTTTATTCCTTTAAAATCCATTGTTTAAAAGGCTTGTGGCAGGTGCAACTTTAAGGGGTTAAGACAGTCATAATATATTTACTTAGTTCAGACTGCTAAAAATCAAAAAAAGGCACAAATTTAAAAGATACAAGGGCTAAAAAAGAAGTCTGCATTTAGCCTTATTTCCTTTCCATTTACTTTTGTAAAGGAAATTTGAACTTTCCAATTTTGCTGAAAGATGAAATATTCATTGGCATTCAAAACTGAAAGAAGACAAGAATAGTCCAAGGAAACTATTAATGCAGACATACTTTTTTTTCTCTTAAGCCCCTGCCAAGGAGCTTCAAAATTGTTTTGATATTATTCTGGATAGCAGCATAGCTAATACTAGCATATACACCAACAAAACTGTATTTCTGTGAAAATTTGAGGACTTGCACAATTAGTTTTCCACAATAGCCTAATGTTATGAAATAGAAGTTATTTTCCAATTGACAGAAACAGGGGGGTTTACTTTAACGAAAAAATATCAAATATTGATATATCAATCAAATATCATGATTTTGACATGTCCTCCTACACAAAAAAAAATCTGAAAGATTTAACAAAAGCCATTTCACTGTATAAGGTGCATTTATTGCTGGTCTACGTTAAACTTGAGGGAAAACCACATTATTTAACAAGCTATTTAAACATACAGAACAACTCAGAATCCAGTCTTACTCTAGTATCACAGGTTATTTATTTTACTTACAAAGTAATTCCCAATATTTCTTGAAATTTTTAGTGCACAGAATTCAATTTGTTTCAGAATACATCAACAATAATAGTATTTCGAGTGCCGCTGTGTTCAGCTCACACTGTGGGTTCCTGAAAAATCCTTTGCGGCTTTTGACCCATGGTACTAGCTAGAAGTTTTTGAAGATTATACCAGAACTCATGACATAAAGCTCCAAGAGATTACACCCAATTCTGGGTCAGCCCCTATTTCGTGAATACCGACACCATCAGTTATACCATACTAACTTAAGTTTCAGCAAAAGTTCAAGCTGGCCCTACTTAAAAGAAACAGAAGTTTCCAAAGAAAGCAATGTTTTCTCACAGCTCTGATATGAGCTAATGAATAAGGCCACTTCAACTTGGTCCATTTTTTTCCATTAAAAAAAATGATGAAGGAAACATTGCCAGTTAAGTTTAAATGTCACACATGGCAGAACCCAAGATACAATGCTTTCTCTAACATCTCCCTGTAAGAACAAATTGCCTCAGCTCACATTAGATGTAACATACGTGGTAAAGGTGCATAATTGTGTACCCTGAAACAACTCCCACTAGAAGGCAGACTGCTTTCTAACAGGCTCTTTGTGATGCAAAATTTATTCCCGACGTTAGAAGAGAAAGCTATTCCATTATGCACACTTACTATGTGATTAGCCGCTATAGCTGAACAGCCATAGGTAGAATCGATGGTCAAGCACCAGTGCAAAAATTGCAATAAAAACTGAACAAGTTAGCTACAGTACTGCCGCTTAACACGTCAAGTCTCTCCTACAAAGTAAACACTATTTTCATGTTAAGTACAAATCCTTCTAAGCTGTTTTTAACTATCATGCACACTCTTCATATATTTACTTTTGTTCTTCCCCTAATAAAAATAATTTATATTGTGCTTCTCATAGCATATCTGTATTACACTATCATGTATTCTTCCTTTGCTGATTATTCAGTTTTGATGGGGGACTACAAAATAAATTTCTGGAGCACTTGGTATTAGAATAACCAAATAGCTTTAATAAAAAGTGATGCTGCCATTAAAAAGGCAGAGGATTAAAAAAAAAAAAAAAATCAAAGCCTTTTATTAACTTATCACTAAAAATCTACATATTCCACAAAGGTTACATACTCACAGCAACGTTACGCTGTTAAGAGGACAGTACAACACTTGTCAGGATCTGTGTATTATCTGCATATGCAACTTACTAGCCAGTTGATCTACAAGATACTATTTACCACAGGCAAACTAAATACTGTGCTTTTAAGAAATCTGCATAGAAATGATTTGATGTTTCTTTTATTTTGGACATACTTACAAAAAGGATTTCTATGTGTGTTAGCAATAAATAATCCCAATATTCAAAATGTCAGTGCTCATGCACACACCGACAAGATGGTTGCATGCTTTAAAAATATTATTTACAGTACAGTCTCCTTCATAGCCCTCTCCCTAGTAATAGCAGAAAGTGCATTTTCTTCCATATTCTTTCTCTTTTCCTTTTATTTTCATTTAGTCTTGCTTCTGAGGGATACAGCCTTCCATCTCAACAACTTCTGGCCAGCCTTCATACTTGTTTGTGTCCTTGTTGTTCTTTATATGCTATAAATAGAAAACATCAATCTACAGTTAAAGTCATTTATTTCGTTGTGTTAACTCACAGCTTTAAAAGACATTTTATTTACTTATTTTCAGGCCATGGACAAAGAGAAGACATCACTATTAGCCTCTTGCGCTTTGCATCAAATATAACAATCTCTCAGTATTCACCACTTAATGTAACTTGCTCAGACAAGTGTATGCTTAAAACAGGCCATACAGGGAAAACATTTTTAAAATTTATTATGGATGTTTATTTAGGAAGAGAGACAAGGAAGAAGACGACCAACTGCACTAAAACATGAACCACTAGACAACAAATAAATAAGGATACTAAATTTACAAAGCACTGAAAATGAATAGTCAGAATTTTAAGAACGTTATTGAATATTGAATGTTCAGGGGTTTGTTTGGTTTGGGTTTTTTGTTTTGGTTTCGGTTTTGTTTGTGGGGTTTTTTTTGTTTGTGTTTTTTCTTTTTAATTAGGAGTTTATTTTTCCACCAAGCAACCATCTGCAATCAGGTAAAACATTAGTGCCTCCAAGAGTTCGCCATTGCTCCTGCACTAGTTCCTACACCCTTGCAAAGCTGGCAAAAAAGAACACACCTTCCTTGCTCTCCTAATACAAAACTACCTTTACTCATAATTAAAGGCAACAGTGAAACATATTGAATTTTAACAGCTAAAGTATAGGAACATATCCCATTTCATAAATTTTGCTATGACAGCAATAATTTTTGCCAGAAGAGCAAAGTGAACAGCTGGGAACACCAACACCTTAACTACCACTTATCTTTCAGAGGTCAACCATTGTTAGTGCATCTAAAATACAAACATTAGGCAGTAAGTTTTAATTTCTTCAGTTTAATTGCATTCATTAAAAAGATAAATAATCTAAGTTATTGGGATACTAAGATCTACCCCACATAAGATTTTTTTCTTATTCATGAATCACCAAAGAATCTTTTTGGTACATTTAGAAGGAGGAGGCTAGTCAAAGAATAAATTTGAAAATAACACTGTGTGCCACTACTGCAATAGATACCCATCTTGAACAAATGCACGGTATTTATAAAGCATGCTATGCCTTCACTAATGTAAGCTGTTAAATTCCAGTAAGTTACAGAATCACAGACCTGTTCAAATGGACTCTTAGTCTTAACTCCTTTTCCACCGCAGAAGACCCAGTTGTCTCTAAAGCCAAGGTTAGTAATAGATGAGCTTCCTAATTCAGCGATCAGTTTCCGTGCCTCCTCATTAAGCCTTGAACAAAACAGAGAAGTTCAGTATGTGACTAAAATACATGCCCTTAGAGCTTTCATTGTTCAATAGACCATTCAGCTTTAATCTGATTAAATATAGTTTAAGTCAGTCAATATTGGGCAAGATCTATCTTTCAAAATCAGATAAGGCTAGTTCTGAAATCACCTGATCTAATGGGCTCTGCTCTTTAATATTATAATCTCAAGGAACCAGCATACAAACCTATCAGTACACGAACAAAAGCCAAGAACCCTCTCCTGTGAGAATTTATACATACATCTCAAGTCATGTTAGCAATTCTCCAAGCAACTAAAAAAGTCAGCCCGCAAAGTAAACATTGTTTGCAGGCTAAAGCTGAAGTCTAGATAAAGCAAAAGCTACTTTAGATTAGAAGAATGACCTAAATATATGAAAGAAGTTCTTGTCTTCTTGGGTCAATTAATTCAAAATTCAGAATGCTGCCCCACAGCACGGTTCAGTGCCTGTAGGTCGAAGTAGGATAATTTTAGTATGGAAGGGAAAACGATTCTGTAAGGTAAGTTATCATTCCAAAACCTCCACATAATGGCTTTCTATTTTTTCCTTTCAATTACTGTATTTGTCTGATTACTAAACAACACACACAACTTCTGATGATCACTACTTACTGAGATATAGTTGCATGACTCGCTTCAGCTAAAATTACAAAAATGATTAAGTTCTTTGGAGGTTATTTGCACAACGCACACTCCAAGTTTCTAGAGCATTAGGGCAGTTTATATTTAAAACAAAAATCAAAATATTTTCTCTTTTAAACATGTTGGTTCTTCACAATTTTAATTGTTTTCAAGAACTGGCATTTATGATTACCATCAACCACCAGTGGTAAGGTTTTGGCTAATTATGTAATAGCACTACTAAGCAGTAGTTCCTGGCTGTCAGCATAAATGGGCCAAATTCACCTTCTTGTTTAGCTGATATTGTATCTACATACAAGCTTTCAAAAACATCATCTGTGACATGATTATTGAAACAAACTAACTGTACTTATTATCTAAAACATCAAAAAAGAAAGGAAAAAGAGCAAAAAGAAAAGTAACAAAACGAGTTAATAGAAAGACAGAAGATCCAGCCTTGGCATAAAGAAACATTAAATTGCTTTCTTCTCCTAAAAGCAGTGAATGCATAGGCACTTAAATATTTACTGCAAATATTGCACACTGCAAAGTCAGGACTTTGTCACAGGAAAGCTGCTCCTATATCAAAAATACAGACAAGTTGTGGATGACAAATTGAACCGAAAGAGAAAAAAAATGTACAGAACACATTAGCAAAAATGTTAACTATTATTAAAACAACAGAGGAAAAGGAAAAAAAAACCCTCTTAATTTTCACTATGAAAAGCAATCCTTTGGACAGGATGACTTAAGTGAGGAGTAGATTACAATACAAATTCTATGGTAATTTTTTAGTATCTATTAAAGCTGAACAAAGTTGGGAAGGTTAGAAGATAATGCTTCAAGAGAACTAAAACCTCTCAGGCTATGCCTACATTAATAAATTGAACAGCTTTAGGGTGGAACAGTCCAAACACTGAGGCCAAAAAGTATGAGGCACACACTAGTAACCTCTCGGGCTTCGAAAGGAAGGATACAGGCAAGGCCTATTGGGAATGGTCTCTGCACCCCTGTAACCACCCAACTCTGTCTTGGAGTCAATCTGAGAAAAATGCTAGATGGAACAGACCAGTTTCTACCAGAGTATTGTCTCACAGTCTTATTCCTATGTTTGGAAATATCCGAATTTACTAGCATAAGATAGAATGAGCTATCAGCAATAGAAAACCAGCACACCTCCAAAAAGACAGATATCCTTGGCAGCCTACATTTAAAAAAAAGAAAAAAAGGTGGGGACAAATTCTAGGAGAGCAGCTAGAAAGGCAACAGGGTCTTCAGGAACCAGGGAGGATAAGGGTATGGTTTAAAAAAAGTACAATGCCCAACATGCAAGTATATTCTTCACAGCTATGAGAAAGCAGTTTGTTGGACTGACCATATGCCCTACATTGTCTTGTTGCATTAACATCTTTTCTCAGAGGAGCAAAAAAAAACAGCTATGTGTTCTGATACAGCAATTGCTAATTAGTCAACTATTAATCTCTAGCCTTTTCAGATTTTCAAACACTTATGATATTTCTGCTAAAGGGTCTAATTTAATATCTAATTTATTGTTTCTCTGTTGTTGGGATCACAAAAGTATACAGCTAACAGTCCTCTATGTAAACACACACATAACCCATTATGCCTAGTTAGTTTTAATTTGATCCTTGTTTTCCTCAAATCACATCAGCATTATAAAACTAATAAACTGAAAGCAGAGTTTCAAATCTGTCATCTTGGAAGAACAAAACTATCAAAAGTGATTGTGTCATAAAGAATGCATTTTTTTCAGTATAAAACACGTTTAAAAGTTTCAGCACTATTTACTATATAAATCAATGACATACTTAGTTGCACCATCATCATATGTTCCCATTAACACTATCGTTCCATCTTGGATGGACTTTAGAAATTCGATAAATGGTGCCACATCTGAAAAGAGATAGAACACAAAACTTTAATAACAAGCAACCACTCCATATTTAAACACCTGCAATACCTTTCTGCAAAGACATTCCTTTTAAGAATATTTGTAAATGTACTTATAAAAAGATGCTAAGTGGGAGAAAGATAAAATGCAGAGAGAACTCTTTCATTTTATAGAAAGTTTCATCCATATTGTGTAAAGACATCTCCCCAGTAGTTCCCACTTGTGGTTAACAAGTGTGTTTGATTAACCATACCATTCCCTCCCACCTCAACTATTTGTGTTTCTTTAAAGTTGCATACTCCTTGTAATTACAAAAGGTAGAGGTGACGCACTCCCTTAACTATCACCTTAAACCACCACAGCAAATGGAGCCGGGGGGGGGGGGGGGGGGGGGGGGGAAGAAC